GCCTCGAGGCCACAGGTTCCCCACCCCTGATCTAGTTCAGCTTTTTCATTTTTTTGGCTAGGCAAGGGGGTTAAGTGACTTGCCTAGGGTCACACAGCTAGCTAGTAAGTGTCGTGTCTGAGGCCGGATTTGAACTCGGGTCCTCCTGAATCCAGGGTTGGTGCTCTATTCACTGCGCCACCTAGCTGCCCCCCAGCTTTTTCATTTTTACAAAGAAACTGAGGCTCTGCAGTTTAATGACTTGTCATCTAAGTAGTAAATAGCAGAGCCAAGATTAGAACCTAGGTGCTTCTGGCTCCAAATGCCACGCTATTTCTACTACATGCCAATCTTAGATCCATCTTATTTAAGAGATACTTAAGATCATGAGGATGTGAGTTCCTTGAAGGTGCCTCTCACCTATCTTTTTGTCTCTCCAGCTCTTAGCACAGTGCCTGGAGCACAATAAATGCTTAATAAAGTAATGCTCCTTGATTTGTTGACTAGTTCAGACCACATCTAGAATATCGTTTTCATGTCAAGGCACCACATCTTAAGAATCTCATAGGGATTCATGGACAACCCATAGGGTAGGACAACCAGAGTGGTGAAAGGCCTTCAATCCATGTCACATGTGAGTCAGAGAAAGGAAATGGCAATGTTTAACTTGCAGAGGAGAAAGCTTGGGGGTGGCAGGTGGGAGGAATATGATAATCAGCAGGTATTTGAAAAGCTGTCAAGTGAAATGGGAATTTGAGTTGTTCTGTTGCCTACAGAGAAACAATGGGTAAAAGTTACACAAGGACAGAGGCTGAACTAGATGAGCCACTGAGTCTGTGATTCTGTAATGAAAACACTTCCCAAAATGGGGGAGAGCCACTACTGGCCAGGTGAAAGATCCATGAAGAAAGGCACCTTGGGGCAGCCAAAAGAACATTGGACTTAGAGTCAGAAGACCTAGTCGCTTAAGTTAGCCAGTAAACATTTATTAGTCACCTACTATGTACCATTCCTTGTTCTAAGTGCTGAAGATATAAAGAAAGGCAAAAGACAGCCCCTGCCCTCCAGGAGCTCCTGATTTAATGGAAGAGACAACATGCAAACAAATATATACAGACAAGCTATATACAGGGTAAAGAGAAATAATGAAAAGAGGGAAAGCACTAGAATTAAGACAGGTTGGAAAAGGATTCCTACAGAAGGTGGGATTTTGGTTGGGACTTGAAAGAAGCCAGGGAAACCAGTAGGTGGAGATTCTGGGCCTTGGGAATAGCCAAAGAAAAATGCCCAGGGCCAAGAGATGGAGTGTCTTATTCATAGAAGAACCAGGAAGCCTGGGTCACTGAATTGAAGAATACATGGGATTTAGGGGTAAGTAAGGTATAAGAAGCCTGGAAAGGTTGGGAGAATTAGGCTATGAAGGGCTTTGAATGCCAAACAGCATTTTGTATTTGATCCTGGAGATAATAAGGAGCTACTGGAGTTTATGAAGTAGGAGAGGTGACACCAGCAGAGCTGTGCTTCAGGAAAATTGCTTCTGTGGCGAAATAGATTGGAGTGGGGGAAGACTTATGTCAGGCAGACCCACCAGCAGGCTGTTGCAATAGTATAGGTGTAAGGTGATGAGAACTTGTACCAGAGTGGTGGCAGCGTCAGAGGAGAGAAGGGGCCATATTTAACAAACGGGTCATATTTGAGAAATCAACAGGTCTTGGCAACAAACTGAATATAGGGGGTGAGATATGGTGAGGAGTCCAAGATGACCCCTAGGGTATGAGCCTGGGGGACTGGGAGAATGCTGTTTTCCTCTACAGTAAGAGGGAAGGTGGGAGGGGGGACAGTTTGGTGGGAAAGATAACGAATTCTGTTTTGGACACATTGAGTTACGATGTCTGCTGAACATCCAGTTTGAGATATCTAATAGGAAGTTGGAGATTTGGGACTGGAGGTCAGTAGAGAGCTTAGGATTGGATTAGTAGATTTGAGAATCATCAGCACAGAGCTGATAACTGAATCCATGGGAGCTGATGAAATCACCAATGGAAATGGTATAGAGGGAGAGTAGATGAGGGTTTAGGACAGAGCCCTGTGGGATACCCACATTTAGTGGGTGTGACCTGGATGCAGATCCAGTGAAGGAGACTCATAAGGAGTAGTTAGATCAGTAGGAAGAAAACCAAGAGAGAGTAGTGGCCTAAAAACCTAGAAGAAGAATATACAAAGGAGAAGAGGGGGATTGAGGGTGTCAGAGGCTGCAGGGAGGTCAAGAAGAAAGTGAGAGGAGGGGAAGTGGAGGAACCCATTGTAGGTGGCCTCCTCAAGGGTTTTAGCCACAAAAGAGATATGGGATGATAGCAGGAATGGAAGGACCAAATGACAGGTTTTTGAGGATGGGGGAAACATGGCCATGTTTGTAGGCCATAGATAAACAGCCAGTGGAAAGGGAGATACTGAAGACAAGTGAAAGAGTGGGGTTGACAGAGGGGGTGATCTGCTGGAGAGATGAGTTTGAATGGGATCACTCGTGCAGGAAGAAGGGTTTGCCTTGGCAAGAAGAAGGGCCACCTTTTATGGGAGTAGGGGTGAGGAAGGATTAGAGGCAAACAGATCTGAGTGATATGAAAGGAAGAGGAGGGCTGAAGAGGGAGCTCTTAGCAAATGACCTCAATTGTTTCAGTAAATTATGGCTTTACCACTTCCTGGACCTTACTTAACCTCTCTGGGCTTCAGTTTCCTTTTTTGTAAAATGAAGGGATTGGACGAGATGTTCTCTCAGGTCACTTATGGCTTTAGAGTCTAAAGACTGAACTAAAACTCTAATCTTAGGCAATTTTTTTGAATGTGCTGACGAAGTTAAGTCTGTGATGACTCAAAGTGGGTAAGCTGGAGAAATGAGACCAGAATAATGGGTATGAAATTGGTTTCACAAAACAAAACACAGGTGCTCACATCCCTTTCACTGAGTGCCAATTGTGCCGTCATGAGTGACTGAATCGAACTCTTTGCCAGGTACCATAGAGAAATGGAGCGTGAGGGAAAACACAGGGCCCTATCCTAAAGGAACTTATTTTGGAATGTCACGAGGGAGACAGGACAGGCACAAGAAAAAGCCAAAGCACACGTGAAAGGGAAATCTGTGAACAAGTGAAAATTAATGTAATTGTCTGGAATTTCAAGTTGTATAACCAGGTTAGCCGGTGACTTAGGAGGGGCCCTAGGCAGAATTGTGAAGTAAGCATAAACTAATCCTTATCCCCTTTCAGTAACCTTTTCCTCTAACCCCCTCCCTGACTCTTGATTGTCCAGGAAACCTACCGCAGTGACCCACCCAAGCCTGACCACCCTGAACAGCCCCCCTGGCCTTGCTTTGGATCTGTCTTGACCTTCTTAGCTTATCAGAATTTAGCTACCTGAGCCCAGGTCCTTCAGGGCCTCATTAGGGGACAGCAAACTAATCTGAGTTAACGGATGATAATTATTTTAATGGGCTATCCCTCCCAGTTACCATTTTCATTTTAAGAGAGACCAAAATTGAATGGTAGACATTTTAGGACCAGTGGGGCATATGTTTTCCCCTTCTTTGTAATATTTTATAAATGAGGTTTTTATTCTACATGGTGTTATAAATGGGATTGTATTCTGAACTGGCATCTGTGTCTTTCATTTTGGCAGGGAGGTCAAAGATTTAATGGCTGAGGTAGTATATGGGCTTTTTTGAACTCCTTCATATAACTTTTTACACTAGTTAAATTTATCTAAGGAATGGTAATAATCAGAAAGTAAATATCTTTACTTAAAATTAAAACAACAACAACAACAACATTGATCCATTTAATCTTAACACTTCCCAAGAAACACACCAGCATTCCCTGAATTGGATTGTTAAGAGGAAGAAGGGATGCCTTCTTTATCTTTGACAGTGTACAGCTAACATTGACTTGTTCTTTTTGACCTGAGCTCTGTTGCAGTCATCTTGCATATTGTTCTTTCAGGCTCTGCTTTCTTCACTTTGCATCATTTCATACAAGTCTTCCCATGTTTCTCTGAATTCTTTATATTTATCATTACTTATTGTTGGTGTTCAGTCATTTTTTCTAACTCTTCATGACCCCCTTTGGGGTTTTCTTGGTGGAGATACTGGAGTGGTTTGCTATATCCTTCTCCAGCTCATTTTACAGATGAGGAAACTGAGGCAAACAGGGTGAGGTGACTTGCCCAGGGTCACAGTGCTAGTAAGGGTCTGAAGCCAGATTTGAACTTGGGAAGATGAGTCTTTCTGGTTCCAAGCCCAGTGCTCTATCCACTTAGCCATCTAGCTGCCCCACCCTTATGTCATTACTTATAACATGATATTATTCCATTCTATTCATATACCATAGTTTATTCAGCCATTTCCCAGTTGTTAGTCATTTTTTTTTCCTTCATCAGACTCAATCTGCCTCTGCAACTTCTACCTAATGCTCCTTTCTGCCCTCTAGGGCCTAGAAGAACAAGTCTACCCTCCCACATGACAGCCCTTCCAATAACTTAAAACCCAACTATCATGTCTCTTTTAAGTCTTCTCTTCTTCAGGCTTAACATCTCTGGTTCCTTCAGCTGATCTTTATGTGATATGAACAAGAAGCCCTCCAGCTGGTCTAACAGGGCTGTACCTTTTTATTGCCCCCCCCCTTTCGTATGGATGGGCAGACTCGTGGTGTCTATTTTTAGAGGCAGGTAATCATTTAGTAGCCCAGAGCCTCATTTTCTTTCTCTGTGAAAGAGTATTTGCACTACTTACCTCATAGGGCTGTTTTGATGATACCATATTAGAAACCTTGAAGTGCCATAGAAATTTGAGGTATTATTATTATAAAATATTAGTAGGGATGATATTTGCAGTGATATGAATTGGGATTGAGAACATTGCCTCTGGTCCTATACATTCTAAGGCATTGTCGCAACTATCATATAGGATCATAGAGTGAAAGCAGGAAGGGATTTGGGACAAGTTCGTCTAATCCTTTCCCTTCATTTTACAGATAAGGGAACAGGAGCCTTCAGAAGAGAATGAAATTGTCTAAGGTAATTCATGTTTCCCCCTTAAATGTTCTTATTGATGTCTTTGATTTTTTTTTGTCTTCATTTTCAAAAAAATCCTTTTCCCCTGCCCTTGCTGGAGAGCCATTCCTTAGAATAAAGAAAACAAAAGAAATAGGGGGGAAAAAAACCAAAACATTTGACTAAAGTGACCAAGACATTGGCCAAGGGTGAACACATATACAGTATTCCACATCCAAGCAGCTTTCTTGTAATGACAGTGTTTCTTTAGTTCTTTTCGTTTAGATTGTCGTAGTCATTGTGCAAGTTGTTTTCCTAGTTCTCTTTGCTTTACTTTATATCAGTTCATATAGGTCTTCCTATGTTTCTTTTTATTCTTCATTTCCTAGAGTGAATAACATTCTGTTATTTATTTAGTCATTTCCCCAGTCAATTGCCCAGAATTATTCTGAAGACAATTCCCATTTCCACTGCTGCGCTGGATTTGGGCTCGACAGTTGGCTTTAGGAGAAATGTCTTCATTCATTCATTCAGCCAAATATGAATTTTAGCCACCTTTTTTAAGCAGCACCTCATAATGGTCTACAGCAGAGATGTCAAACTCACAGCCTGAAAACTCCTGAATATAGCCTGCACCATATTAAAATGTAATGGGAAATGCTTAACAAAAATCAATAAAAATATAATACAGCATAGATAATGCTAGTATGTGGTTTTCTAAGTCAGTATGCAACCAGCAGGGATGGATCCTTTTCGATTTGAGTTTGACACCACTGGTCCAGAGGAGCAGAATATAAGCTTCTGGAAAGGTAGAGAATATGTCTTAATTCATGCTCCTCAGCCATTTTGTGTTCATCTGTGGTGCTTCAGATTCTATGTCCTACCCCTGACCTTACCTACTGCCCTGCGGACCTGGGCTTCTGTTGGACAGCCTTCACTTTTTCTAATTTGGCTCAGACTCCCAAGCTGCTGTTCCCTGACCATCCTTACTCCATGCCTTTCTACTTCTTGCTTTATAAACAGCGATCGAACAAACACCACCCTTCCAGGAATGGATGGATCAAACAATGATTCACCATCCCGGTGACCTCCCTGACCAAATGACCTTGTTCTAGCCATCGCTCTCCATATGTATTGTCTTCCACTATTAGGATGTAAACTCCTTGGGGCGGAAGGATTGTATCTCCAGCACTTTGTATAATGCCAGGTACATAGTAAGCCCCTATTTTTCCTAGCAGTCTTTCTTGAATAGTGAGTCTTTATCCTATTGGCTCTTTGGAATCTTTGGGTTTATCAAACACTAGGCTACTAGAGTAATTTTCTTCTGTATCTGGGTTGCCTAACCTGGGGTTTGTTAAGTTGGCTGTTTTCTTTTAATACTTTGATAACTGTATTTCAATATGAGGATTTTTTGAGGGGAATGCTGTGTATTTTATTTTATATGTTTAAAAGCACTATTCTGAGAAGGGGTCCATGGGCTTCACCAGTCTGCTAGAGGGGTCCAGGACCCAAAATAGGGTAAGAAGCCCTGTTCTACATGTTACTTCACTAGTCTGTTCCATTGATCAATCTCCCTTTCTTGACAGGACCAAATAGTTTTAATGACTACTGCGTTATAGTATAGTTCAAGATCTGCTACTGCTGGGTCCCCTTCCTTTGTACCTTTTTTCATTATTTCCTCTGAGATTCTTGACCTTCTGTTCTTCCAGATGAATCTTCTTATTTTTTCTGGCTCTAAAAAGTAAACCTTTGGTAGTTTGATCGGCATGACACTCAATTAGGGTATTCATTTAGGCGTGTTGTCATTTTTATTCTATTGGTTTAGACCACTCCTGAACAGCGAATATTTCTCCAGTTAAAGGATGTTTTAGAGTTGTAGTGATTTAGTTTGTATTTGTGAATCTTGCTAAGTAGACTCTTAAGTATTTTCTGCATTCTGTAGTGCTTTTAAATGGAATTTCTCTTTCTGCTGAGTTTTGGTGGTAATATACAGAAACGCCAGTGATTTTGTTAGCTTATTTTATGTATGGAGATTTTGCTGAAGTGATTCATGGTTTCAATTCATTTTAGTTGACGCTAGAGCTCTCTAAGTAAACTCTCTTATCATTTGCAAAAAGTGAGGATTTTCTTCCTCCTTGCCTTGGCTTCATTGCTCAAATTGTTTTCTTGACTTCTTTCAATAGCCAGCATTTCTAGCGCTATAGTAAAAGTAATAATGATAATGGACACGCTTCCTTCCTTTGTCCCTTATCTTCCTAGAAAAGCCTCTATTTTATTCCCACACTATGTAAGTGCTCACCTGCTCTTTTCTCTACACACAGATGCCAGTCACAGTGTATTGCTTTCTTTCTTTCCTTTTAAACCCCTTCCTAATCCACCCTCCAAGGGTAGAGTTTGTTTTGCTTATGACTAATCCCTCCTTGAGTCTCCCCTCCCTCTCCTTCCCCTTTCTCCTCTCTGAATTCTCTCCTGTTCCCCGTTGAGTTGAATGTATTCCTGCATTAAACTGTGTGTGTGTGTGTGTGTGTGTGTATGTATGTCTTCTGCCTTCCTTTGATATCGTTCATGATTTTCTCCATTCTTTCTATGTCATAGAGTCCAAAATTTCTTTGATTAGAAACTCAGTACTTTGAGTTAAATCTGTGTCCTCAAAACTTATTTAAGAAACTATGCTCAAAAAAACTATAAACTATAAAAACTATATAAACTATATAAAACGATAAAAATTGTGTCAAGGCTAGGGTGCCGAGGTGAACCTCACTCCTGAGAGCCTCTTTGATGAAGTTAAGGCCAAAACCAAAGTCAAGAAGACAAAGCCATCTCATTCCATCTCCGGGGTTCACACTCCTGCCTTTAATGTGGGTATCTACCACCCACAGCCCAGAAGTGCTGGCCCTCTAGAGCGGATGCCATAGACCCCTTTGGCAGTCTGGGCAAGCCTATGGATTCCTTCTCAGAATCATGTGTCTTCATGTATAAAGTAAAATGCATAAGACTAGGAAACCAATTATATTGAAATGCAGTTTATTTGTATATGTGTGTGTGTGTATGTGTGTGTGTGTGTGTGTGTGTGTGTGTGTGTGTGTGTGTGTATACACACACATTCATTATCTAGCTATCCATTTCCACATCCATACAAGTTAATGGGCCCCAGGTTAAGAACCCTGATTTATAAGTTACTGTTTACAAAAAAAGTGTGACTCGATACAACAAAATATAAACAAAATGCACATTGATACCACAAAAACTTTCCTGATAAATGTAACCACAGAGATGATTCTGTTCATTGACCCCCTGATTATGGTCAAGGCGTAAAGGAGGGACACTCATGCTCCCCATAGGTATTTGTTGTTCTCATGGAGGACGTCCGGTGCAGAGTCCAAATGGAAGGGGGATTCCACGTATATAGTAAGGTCCTCCAAATGCACCTCTTTGTAACCTGTTTGCATCAGTCTCCAGAACATTACAGGGCCTCTTCCACAAGATTCATTATTACTCAAAAGAGATCAGCCTAGCTGTCAACATAGAAAAAAATAGAAATTTTTAACATGCCTCTCGTCCAGATATTTAATGACCCCAAGGTGATCTCCCGCACGAAAATCTATTTTGTTAACAGAAATGCTCTCCTCACTGCGCTGTGTGGTTGTGACCCTTGAGAAACCATGATGTTTAAGAGTCAAAGTTGCATGTGAGCCGGGGGTCAGTGGAATTTTGAAGTCTGTTCTCTGATCCACCTATCCATCTTATTGCTCTTCCTCCTCATACACATGAATTTGGCTTAAAAAGTGCTTTGAGTTATCAGGGCCATCCTAAGATGGGAACAGTTGTTCTCATCTTGGTCTAACTAAAAACCTTGAAATGGGCCTGTGCTTTGGGATTCTAAGGTGGGAGAGCTCAAAGGTTTAGGGCTACCTGACCTTTGTATATTCTAGGCAAGGTAGGAATCCCACACACCAAAGATTTATTTCTAAATGGGAGTGGTTCTAAGCCCAGGATGGCCCTGGTAACCCAGAAGTCTCCGGGGCGGGGGGATTGCCAGGGGTTGGATTAGCCTCAGGATATCCCCAGAGAGGCTCAGAACTGACTGATTGCCTTCCATGTAGCCTCCTAATTCTGTCAGACCATAGACCAACTCTGGTCTCTGAACCTCTGGCCCTGTCAGGTCTCACTTTGAGCCAGGCTCTGGGGCTACGGGTTAGGAAATAACCAACATCAATATAGTTCATAATAGCCAATTGTTGTCTTTGATAATGTAGCCAGATGAGGAACTTGGTCCAGAAGTGACTGGGGGAGATCAGGCTGCATTGTGTTTGGGATACTGCATGGTGCTTTCAGTGACCTAAGTTTCTCCCCACCACCAAAGCCCGTCTTTTCAGCAACATCCTGGCAATGCTGTATGGTTATGAATCACAGAATTCTCTATGATCTCAGAAGAGTCACAATGACAGGTGACCCAAAGGGCAATGGAAAGATATGGGATGGGTGTAAGTAGGCTGCAGCATGTTAGCAGTGAGGACTTGCACATGGGAAATGGCATAAAAGTAATTATCAAGGACATGTGTTCCCCAAGAAAGGAGTGGGATGGTCATGTGGTAAGAAACGGAGTTAACAGATCGACTGTCTAAATGCTGTGTTGGTATCCACAAAGTACTAACAGAACCAAAGGCTAGTGTCCCACACATTGGGGAAGGGGAATTTTTTGTGGAGGCTGTACAGGAAGACAGGGACAAGATTGACACCAATGAGAAGGCATGGAGGAGTTAGGCCTTGCCTCGGTGATAGACATGTCTATATCTCTGAGATCATGGGGCCATTACAGTATGTACATAGCCGTGGAATGGCTGTTTTCACTGGCTGGGCACTCCAAATGGAAACTGCATATGTATCCATGTTACATCAGGATAAAGTTCATCCTGTCCCACTTCCTTTAGAGCTCTTTGTGTCTTGAGGATTTCCAGGGATAGCAGCCACATACGTGGAGGGGAGAAGGGTGGTGAAGCACCAAGCAGTGTTGTATTTTTGGGCAGTCTAATGCTTCTCCCTTCCCTAGGAGCCGTGGAACATGTCAGAATGTCTCCTGAATTGTGCCCTCCATCCTGACAGGTTCAGCATTGGAGGTACAAGGTTTCAAGTTTTTCACCAAGTAAGTGTGGGAACCTTAACCCTGAAATGTTAGGGAAGTGCCTTCAAAGGGCTTCACGTGCTTTTCATTGGAGTAGAAGCTATAATATATTTCCCAACCCCCCAGCTCACCTCTATGCCCAGACACCTGCTTGGGGTTTCTCATGTTGTGTAGATCACGTGGAGGTGTCAGGGGAACCTAAAGGAATCAAAAATATGAAAAGAAAATCTGCTTAGCTTTTACCAAGTTGGGAAAAGGTTTAATATTATTTTGAGAGCCACTGGGAAACTAAAATCTCAAGACTCTCCCCACTCCAATCCAGCTTCGGCACAGCTGCCAAAGCAGAGACGGGACCGTGTCACTCTTTACCCAGTGAACGGTTCTCTCTCATCCCCAGCATCAAATAGAAAGACCTTTGACTTTCAAAGCTCTTCACAAGCTGGCTTCTCATACCTTTCCAGTCTCTTTATGCTTTACACCCCACCATGCACTCTACAATTTAACCCTCCTAGCCTTCTTGCGGGATGCTCTATCTCCCACCTCCATGCCTTTACAGTAGCTGTATCCCCTATCTGGAATGCCCAGTCTCCTCACCTCTGTCTCTTAGAATCCCTGGCTTTTTCAGGAGGCCTTTCCCAGTTCTCTGAGCTACTAGAGTCTTCCCCTTTAAGGTTACCTTCTATTTACTCTGTTATGTACCTTGTGTGTACCCATTTATTTATGTTGTCTCACAAGCTCCCCGAGGGCAAGGACTTTGTGCCTTTCTTATATCCACAGGACCTGGTGGAACATAGTAAGTACCTAATAAATAGTTCTGGATTGATTGAGGTCATTGGTTCCACAGTATTACCTCAACCTTACTCTATAGCTCATACTATTCAGTTCTGTTCAGTCCAACAAGTATTTATTAAGTGCCTGCTATGTGCCAAGAAAATCCCAAATGGCATCACAAAGAGTTGGACACCACAGAAAACAACTTAACACACACTGTGAGCCTGGAACTACAGAAGCTGGGGATGCAAAGATAACACGCAACCCCTGCCTTCAGAGAGCTTACATTCTTTTTGGAGGCTTCCACATTTACACAAATGTAGTACATGCAGTACTAGAGGCCTGCGAGGAAAGCCATGGGACCACGGATCATAAGTGTTGTGGGGAAGATTCTTGGGTTGGGTACAGGTTGGACTGGACAACCACAAAGGTAGTTCCCTTCTAACTCTGAGCTTGTGAAATCTCCAATACAGTATGGGGGGCGGGGGGGGGAGAGAGAGAGAGAGAGAGAGAGAAGAGAGAGAGAGAGAGAGAGAGAGAGAGAGCTAACCATTAGAGGGATGTGTGAAGGCCATCCATAGGAGGTGGAATCTGAAATTAGGCTTAAAAGAAGCCAAGGACTCTAAGAGGATGAGGTGAAGGGGGGATTATATTCAAGGTACAGGGGACAACCAGAGCAAAGACATGAAGGCAGTTTGACTAGAACAAAGAGAATGGAAAGAAGAATTATGTAAAATAAGTTTGGAGCCAGACTGGAAAGGGCTTGAAATGCCCAGCTGAGGAATTTGGATTTTATCTTAAAGAAAGTAGGGAGTCCCTGAAGCTCTCTTGAGCAAAGGTCTTCTTCCATCTCCTATGTGCCCCTGCCTTGGTTCATACTCTGTACTTCCTTTGCCCGGAATATTCACCCTTTCTCCAAGGATTGACATATTACCCTTCCTTCAAGGCTCAACTTCATTGTCACTTTGTCTATTGTTTTCCCTAATCCCCACCTACTTTTATAGCTCTCTGCATTCCCCTTACATGCTAAGAGTTGAGTTTGTGGGATATTTGTCTGTATATTTAGTCTCTTCTGGATGGTAAATTACTTAAGGGCAGGCAGAGCTCACGATATCTTATTTATCTTAGTAAGCTCCTTCAATACCTAGCACTGTACGTAGTCAGCTTCTCGAATGAATGTTAAGTCTTCTGTTACAATTCCTTTCTACTACCCTTTTTCAGGAGAAAGATGAACAAGACGCCTCTTGAAAACAGAGTTGAATATGCACGCCTCTTTCTTTCTTGTGTAAGATTCTGGTTGAACAACTTACTGCCTTGTGACAACCATCTATGAAACGTCATCCAGGGTGAGCAGGAAAGCATGCTGTCCTCATGCTGTACTACAAACACAGTCTCTGGGGAAGAAAGCAGACGAATTAAAAAACAAAACCAAAAAATAGAGCGTGGGCCCTTACGTTAGAAGACTTCTTTGCCAAGTTCTTCAAGTATTTCCTTTCCTTTCTCCCCACTTACTTTGTCCTCTGCCCTGCTCTTTTGATGGTGCCCAGCCTGGGCCTTGTCATCTTACTTGGTGGCCTCTTCCTCCTCCTCCTTGCTCTGTGGGTCCATCAGAGTCTCCACACACACACAGCCAGAGGGCTGCATCCTCAGTACACTTCTTTTGAAAGGTCTGACTTTGTTCTACACAGAGGTAGTCCAAGTTGATATAAAATATCTTCCTATGAGTACAGTTCCACATGTCTGTACACTCCCACACCCCACCCATACACACACACACACACACACACACACACACACATGAGTTTTCATCCTATAGTTATTCCAATAAAGTGTTACTTGGGATTGCTTTTTTTTTCAGGAATGTTTATGACCCTAGACACATTTAAAATCCACATGGACTGAGTTTCAAAACTACAGGAGATACAAATCAGTTTGTGCTCTATCACCATCTCCCCCAAATCTTAATCAGTTATCCCCTCTGATTCACATCTCAGGCAGGAAAAAAAATGGAACTACTTTAAAAACTGACTTACAAGACTGACTTTTGTAGATGATTTTGGCCATTTGTTTCATATTTTAACCATGCTTCATGTGGAGAAATTCGGCCTGAATTGTTTACAGACATCTCCATCTCCTTCACTTTTAGTCAGGAACGTTGGGTCCACTTTTTTGGTTAGGCAGAACTCCTGGCTCACGCAGAATTGTCATTGAAGGCAAATGTTATTGACATCAACTGTTCTGCCTGAGTAAAAAGCACAAAATTGGATCCATCAAATGCTTAAAACTTGTCAGTGCCGATAGGAAGCTCTTTCCCTTTCATATCTGCTACCCTTCAACTCTAAAAGGACAGCCTTCATCTTCTTCTAGACTGCAGTAGTAGATACATTTGCTTTTCTGTGTTATATATCTTTTTCCTGATCCTGAAATCTAATTTATTTGTGCTTAATTCAGATATGCATCGGAACAGAGTCATTGAATTATTGACTCATAAAGCTGGAAGACACTTTAGAAATTTAGTCCCAACCACTTCAGTCAACAAGTGAGGGTTTTGGGGGCAGCTAGGTGCTGCAGTGGCTAGAGCACCAGCCCCGAAGGGAGGAGGACCTGAGTTCAAATCTGGCCTCAGACCAAACACTTGATACTTGCTAGCTGTGTGACCCTGGGCAAGTCACTTAACCCCAATTGCCTAAAAAAAAAAAAAACAACCCAAAAACCACAAGTGAGGGTTTTGGAGCAAATGTGCTGTACTGTGGAAAGCACACTGGCTTCAGAGTCAGATTGTTTAGAACCAAGAGACCTCAGAGGTCATATAGTCCAACCTTTCCAATTTACAAATGAGGAAGCCAAGGCCCAGAGACATGAAATGAAGAGATGCTCTATTAAAATGCTTTTCAATCCTCATAATGCTATATAAATGTGAGCCATTATTATGAGTTACTGCTGTAACTCACACAGACTTCAAATGGCAGAGCTAGAACTCAAAGCCACTTTTTCTAGCTAAAAATGTGATTGGTCTCTCACCTCTGATATCATGTGTGCAGAGACACCAGGGATTAGGTGGCAAATCAAGTAAGAAAAATGGGGATGGGATAAAGAACTTTGCAGAAGAAGGCAAGGAAGGGAACATGCCCAGGACAGAGGTAGCCTCCTGCTCTAAGGGACTCTGTCAGTCTCAGAGAGTCTTTTTGAGGTGATCACAATAGCACAGGGCCAAGGACAGATCCCTGGCACACTCTTCTAGAGATCTTCCAATCTAACGTCAGTTCATTAATGATCACTCCATGGGCATGGGCATTTAACCATTTCTGAATCCACTTAACCATACTATGCTTTAGTCCCTGTTTCTTTGTCTCATCCACAAGAATAACATGAGAGACTTGGTCAGAAGTTTTGGGAAATGATATCTACAGCAATTCCCGCACCTACCGGTCGACTAAACCCTAGGTTACTTAGACATGACCATATTCTTGAGAAGGTCATGCCTGCTGGCTTTTTGTGTGTACCTTTTACAGAGGTTTACTAACCAGTCCTTTAATAACATGTGCTAAAATTTTGTGAGAAATACAAATCGAGATGCCTAGTATGTATTTTGTAGACTCTCCTGTCTTCCCTTTTTTTGAAAATTAGGCTAATGTTTGTCCTTCTTCAGTCTTGGGGCCCACTCACCATTGAGAAGATTTAGAGGCCTGGCTTTACCAGGCCTACTACTATCGCTCTGTGATCTTGGGTAGGTCTCTAAAAGGCTCTGTTTCCTTATCCAAAAAGTGGAGATAATCATACTTGTACCACCTATGTCTCAACAAGAATTTATCATAAGTATGTCTGCCATATGCCAGGTGTTACACTGGGCTCTGAGGCTATAAAAAACAGCATTTATCTAATGCTTTATGGTTTGCAGAGCACTTGACAAATGTCATTTCATTTGATCCTCACGACAGCCTTGGGAGGTAGGTGCTATTATTATCATCCCCATTTTTACAGATGAGGAAACTGAGGCAGACAGTGATTAAGTGACTTTCCCAGGGTTGTGCAGCTAGTAAGTGTCTGAGGCTGCATTTGAATTCAGGCCTTCCTGACTCTAAGTCCAAGACTACCTACTGCATCACCTAGCTGCCTCTGAAGTAGTTCCCATCCTCAATATTAGTGGAGACAACATGCACATATATAATATGTCAAATAAGTCAAAGGTAATGTGGAGTGGAGGGAAGAGGAGACAGCTTGCAGTTGAGGGGATCAGGAAAGGCTTCATGTAGAAGGAGGTATTTTAGGAGTGACTTAAGGAAAACGAGAGACTCTCAGATATTGAAGATATTGAAGGGGCTGGGGGACAGCCAGTACAGAGGCACAGAGGTGGGTTAGACAGGTAGGTTGGGGCTAGGTTCTGACGGGACTTGAATGCCAACCAGAGGAGTTTATATTTGATCCTACAGGCATTAGGAAACCACTGGTCTTCATTGAATAGGAAAGTGACCAGACCTTTGCCCTCAGAAAATTAATTTGGCAGCTGTGTTGAGAAAGGATTGGAGAGGGCAGAAACCTGAGGCAGGGATTTTGATTGCAGTAGCATAGGCCATGGAAGATGAAGGCCTGAACCAGGGTAGTAGCTGTGCGAGTAGAAAGAAGAGAGCAAATGCAAGAGGTATTGTGGGTGCAGACATGACCAGACCTGGCACCTGATTAAACGTGGAAGGTGAGCTCAAGCGAGGAGCCAAGGATAATGCCGAAGCTATGAACCCGGGTGACTCAGGGGATGGCGGTACCTTGGACACAAACAGGAAAGGTTGGAAGAGCAGGGATTTGGGTGGGGGGAAGAGAATGAATTCTATATAAAGCATTTTAAGTTTGAGATGTCTGTGGGACATCTAGTTTGAAAGGTCCAGTTGGCAGTTGGTGGTGTGGAGCTAGGCTTTAGGAGGAAGAGGTGATCATTGGGTCCCTGGGAACTTGAGGATCAAATGAGGTCAGACAGTTTATAAGGGGCTTTACAATTATAATTTGTGGGAGAAACTCCAAATTTTCTGGAAACTCCAAATCGTAGAATTTGAGCACTGGTAGGCAGCTCAGTAGCCCAACCTGTGTGTGAAAGGAATACCCACCAAGGGGACATCTAGCCTCTGCTTGGATTTGTGTTACTTGATTCAACCCAACGCATCATCAGCTTGTCAAGATGTTTTGTATCCTGACCCAAGTTGTTCAATGTGTTCACTGTCCTTCCCAGCTTTGTGTCATCCGCAGATATGATGAGCGGCCCATCTACACCTTTATTCAGGTCGTTGATAAAAACGTAAAACAGCCAAGGGCCAAGGACGGATCCCTGGGGCATCGCACTGGACACCTCGTGTCACACTGACATCAAACCACTGACGACTCACTCAAGGAGACCCAGTCCACGTTTCAGCCACAGCAGCAGCCACAAGGAGTCCGCATCCGCGTCCTCCTGAGCCCTGGAATCCCTTCGGTTCAGGCACTGAGTTAAGGTTCCGAGGTTGGGCCACACAAGCTTCTTATCCCCTTTACTGCTTCTCAGTCTGTCCTTTGGGCCCCTCGACATCTGTTTTACCTGCCTCTCGTGACTATTTTCTGCGTGTTTCCTGCGTGTTTCCTGCGTGTTCTCTGCGTGTCGGTGTTGAGAGCCAAGCCCTGCGCTCTTGTCCCCCGTCACTAATTCTCCTCAGTGCTTTCTTCTGTTCCATGTGTGCCTGAGTCTCTGCTGTTGGGTTCTTCATTCGCCTGTCAATAAACTCACAGACTATAATCACACCCCTCAATTATACAGACTTAAACAGTATGGGCCATCTCTTGTTCTGGGGAAGCTGTAATTTAATGCAACAGGGCTCTGTTGGTCGACATTTTCCAGCACTTCCATTCATTCCTGCCTGGTAATTACAGATTGCTTATAAATAAACATGCAGGATGATTTCCGGAATATTCTGTATTTCCTTACAAGGCTGGTACTTCTATCAGTGGGCCACTTAAGTGGTTTTGAAAGCCTGTATACAGGTTCGTTTTACAGTGCATTTGAAGTTTGTAATCCTGCTTAAATACACAGAAAGAGGAAGGCTTAACAAACTGCCACTTGGAGGGCAAAAGGAGACAGAGCATCAGGTAATCAAGCCACGGCCTATCAGAAATGCAGAATTAATCGGGGCAAAAGTGGGCAACTGTCAACAAAAATAATATGTTACGGACCCTCGAGCCTTTCTGTTTATGCTAGGGGAAGCCTAAAATAATCTGTGGTTTCTGATGCTTGATTTAGTTTTCCACAAGCCTAATTAACACCAGATTAAGTCTGCTGCCACTTTGGTTTATTGCTGAGATTGACGAACGCTCACTGTTTATTTGTCTTCTGGACAGAATGACTTGGGGCCATAACAGTATGACATATTCAATAACGTTGAGAATGACTGGACCAGATGCATGTTCGTAAACTTGGGGGCTGTTACATTAATAACACAAGGAAAAGGCCCATCGACCCCAACAAATCCCTGAAAAGGAAGAAGTGGTGCCCTGCTTCATGGGGGCTGAGTCAGATGGGGGTAAGACAAGATAGGGCTCTTCTCCTTGAGGCAGGTGCTGAAGTCTCCCTGGAGCAGTCACAGAAACAAAGCACTGACCTCAGCAGCTTGTTTAACACCCTACCCCCTCATTTTTCAGATGAGGAAACTGAGGCCCAGAAAGGGAAAGGAACTTCCCCAGAGCCACAGAGGTACTAAGGAGAAGAACCAGAATTGGAGTAAGTAGCAAGGCTGAGACTTGACTGAGTTAATCACCAAGTGGATGAGTAGCTGGACAGACAGATAAAGCATTTCCTAAGTGCCCGCTATGTGCCAGGCATGGTGCTCAGTGTTGGGAATACAAGTATAAGCAAGCAGGACAGACCCTGCCCTCTAGGAGCTTACATTCTGATAGAATGTTAGTGGGGGGTGGAGGGGCCATGGGTAGAGGAAGGATAGTTCCATTGTTGGGAGGTGAGATGGAGACTTGGTTAGGCCCAAGCTAGTTTTCTCAGGAAGGCGTCAAGCTGGCATGGCTACGTGGTGAGGTGGAGGCTTTGTTCTGGATGAGATGAGGTCAAAGGTCATCACTCAGACACCCCCCCCCTCCCCCCCGGGGGGCTCTGGAGCAGAAGATGATGGCAGAGCGGAGGTGGCATGGTTTTGTTTGGTGTTTATTGGCACATAGTATGTGCTGGATATGGTGCCAAGCAGAGGGGTAGGGGGATACAAAGACAGAATCAAACTGGTCCCTTTGTTCATGGGGTTGATATTCTAAAGAAAAGCAACTTATTATGGATACAAGAAAGCCAGGTTTTCTGGCTCCAAAGGCCAGTAGGCCTGCTACTCTTCTATACTATCTTGCCAAGCAGCATGGTCTTGGACAAGTCACTGCCCCCCCCCCCGAATTCCTTTGCTCAGGGTTTTTGTGAGGTCCCAGTGGAATAATGGAGTTAAAGTGCTTATAAAAACCACAGAGGGCCGTAAAAGCCTGAGCCAACACGGAGCCTCGCTGGGTTATCTTTTGCTTTCTCAGTATTGGCAGCCATCAGTAGATACTCTCTGAAGAATATGGGAGAAGTGGTGGATTGTAGGTACAGAGTGAGCCCGTATTTTCCAATATGATCAATGCAACACAAATTTGTTTTGCTTGACCACTTCTTTGTTACAAAGGAGGACTTTTGTTCGGGTTGGGGAGCATGTTGGGGAGTGAGGGGCACAGTGATAGTGACGCAAATACGAGAAGAAGGAAAAGGGACGTTTTAAAAATAGCAGAAGAGAGCGGAGACTCTCATTGTTAGAAGGGGACACAGAGAAGCAGGGCAGTGATGAGGCCACCTTGTGAAATTGGAAATGATTTTACAACCCTGCATAGCAGTTTCCCAGTTTCATCTAGAATCTTCGTTTTCTGTCCTTTGTATGTGAAATCGTTCGCATCTGATGCCGTCAAGTTCTTAAATGTTCTTTAAAGAATATATGAGGAAGTTCATTGTGGGTGTCTCTTCTTTGGAGCAGTAGGAGAAAGAGAGCTTGGGACACTCTTGCTCTGTTGCTTTCTTTCTGGTTGCAGCTTTTCGCTTTTCCCTGATCCGACTCCAAGAGCTGTGGAAATACAGTGCATTACAAGGTCAGGTAGGAAAGAGCCTCCTTATTTGCTTTGCTTTGATTCTTGAAACTCTGCACCACAGTTCAGAGGAATCCAGTAAAACAGAAGATGTTTATTTACACATGTGAACAAACTGTCGGCCAACTTCTCTTCCTGCTCCCCGGACTTCAAAGAGACCTCTCTACGTGGAGAAGTATGCAAGCATGCGGAGCAAGATAGGGAGGCTGGTCAGAAAAGGGACACAGCATTCAGTCCATAAAACAAGGTCCATCGTAGAAATGCACTAGGACTTGATGGTGGTCAAGTCTCAGCTGTGGAGAGAAGACCTAAAACAATGCAAGCCAGCAGAGACGTCCCCCCGAAACCCTTATATTTGGTTTTAGTAGACACACACATACCCCTACACAGGGGTGGGGAACCTGGGGCCTCGAGGCCACATGTGGCCCTCCAGGTCCTCAAGTGCAGCCCTTTGACTGAATCCAAACTTCCCAGAACAAATCTCCTTCATAAAAGGATTTGTTCTGTCAAACTTGGACTCAGTTCCCCACCCTGGCTACACACACATACACACACACCCATAGACACACACACATGCACCCATAGACATGCATACACTCCCCCCAACAGACACCCCCCCATAGATACACACTAAACAGACACACATACTCATAGACACACATACACACCCCTGTAGACACACACACACACACACACACATTCACACTCCCTTAGACACACACCCCCCCATAGATACACACTGAACAGACACACATACTCATAGACATGCATACACACTCCCGTAGACACACACACACATTCATACTCCCCTACAGACATACTCCCTTAGAGACACACACACACACCCATAGATACACACTAAGCAGACACATATCCATAGACATGCGCGCGCGCACACACACACACACACACACATTCACACTCCCCTATAGACACACTCCCTTAGACACACACACACACACACACACACATAGATACACACTAAACAGACACATATCCATAGACATGCACACACACCTCTGTAGACACATACACACACACACATGCATGCATGCACACTTCTCTATGGACATACTCCCTTACAGACACACACACACACACACACACATACTCCCCCATAGATACACACTAAACAGACACACATACCCATAGACATACACACACACACACACACACACACACACACACATTCACCCCTATAGACACACTCCCTTAGAGACACACACACACACCCATAGATACACACTAAACAGATACACATACTCATAGACATGCATACACACCCCCGTAGACACACACACACACACACACACATTCACACTCCCCTATAGAGACACTCCCTTAGAGACACACACACACACCCCCATAGATACACACTAAACAGATACACATACTCATAGACATGCATACACATACTCATAGACATGCATACACACCCCCGTAGACACTCACACACACACACACACACATATTCACACTCCCCTATAGACACACTCCCTTAGAGACACACCCCCAACCCCCACAGATACACACTAAACAGACACACACACACACACACACACACACACACACTCACTCTCTCTCTCTCTCTCTCTCTCTCTCTCTCTCTTTCTCTCACTGCCCTCCGCCTTTGTCTCTGGACCTTCTTTACTCAGCCCTTTTTAGTGGTCCCCTGATTCAACCCTTACCAGCTGTGTGACTGTGGGCAGGTTTACCTCTCTGAGCCTGTGTTTGGGCATCCACAAACCTCTAGTGCCTCCTTACCAGGATTGTTGTGAGATTCAGATGAGATCATGGATGTAAGATATTTCATAAATCTTAAAGCATTCTAGAAATATCAGTTATCATTACCACAATTATCCTCTTGGGTCAAATGGGGATGATCATGATAGCTGTGAAAAAGTGCTTGATAAACTTTCTGGGGCAGTGTTCTTGGGGAGGTCACAAGTTCTTTCTGTAGCGGGTCGTCCACTTTTAGGTCATGGAGAGCTGCCTGTACTGTAATTCTAAATACATGAGAATCCAAACATGACCGTAGAACCCCTGCAAGAGCCATGAAAGAAAGGAGAGGAAACTCTCCTCCCCCGTTGTTTGTTTGACTTTTCAGACTATTTGTCTTCGCTCTCCTGCTCCACCCAGAAGAAATGTTCTTCCTGTCCCTTCCCAAATCCTCTTTCTGGAAAGCATCAGAAACACCAAAGCAGTCTGATTCCAGCCTGACCTTGAAATGCCCTGGAGTTCAGCAGTTGCCCATTTAGGCCCCATTCCCCTTCCCTCTCCCTCTCTGGCCCCTGTGCTTAACAAGCAGAGAGACTTAATATAACTAAATAACCTGGTCACAGGACTGGGAGGGAGCTCTTGAGGCCATTCGCTCCATCTTTCTCTTTTTAGGCAGGGCTCGACTTTGTCTACAGAGATGGTGCTCTAATCGTAAGCATGCAGCACACTTAATGGAAAGAGCTCTCATCTTGGAGTCAGAGCACCTTGGTTCAAAGTTCAGTTCTGCCACTGCTGCCCCTATGATCTTGGGCAAGTCACTTAACCTTGTGGTGTCAGTTTCCTCATTTTTATTTTTTTGTTTTGGTTTGGGTTTTTGCTAGGCAGTTGGGGTTAAGTGACTTGCCCAGGGTCATACAGCTAGTAAGTGTCAAGTGTCTGAGGCCGGATTTGAACTCAGGTCCTGCTGACTCCAGGGCTGGTGCTCTATGCACTACACCACCGCGCTACCCCGGTTTCCTCAT